GTTAGCCCTTCTTCCAATCTGCAGGCACCTTCCCTTCCTTCCAGACCTTCTGCAATAACAGTAATAATAACTTACTCCTGAATAGTGATGTGAGCATGTCCGCTGTTGTCCCTGTGTCTGCTTCCAGTGCTTCTGGCGGGATTCCATCCAGTCCTGCTGCTCTACTGCATTTCAGGAGCTTTATGGCTTTCAGGACTTTGACATTTGTTGGAAGATTTGTGTTCGCTTGCAGTTCTGTGGCTGCAGGTGGTAATTCTGGACGAAGTGCAGGTGGCGGCCGATTCAAGAACTTTTTGAAGTGGTCGGACCATCATTTCCTTTGTTTCCCTTCTTTGGTAATTCAATTCCCTTCATCATCTTTTCTTAATTTCATCTGCCTTGATCTCTTCCCAGATAGTGACCTGGTTATTTGATATGATGTTGTCAGGTCTCTCCTGCCTGCAGCCCGTCCTGCTTCACTTGCCAGTGTGTTGTGGAAGGGTCTTTTGTCTCTCCGCGCACTCTTCTTCACTTACTATGCCCGGTTTTTTATAAATCGTACTCAGTTCCTCTTCTTGTTGCTCATCCCTGCACTAATTTATCTTCTGCTTCCCTATCCCTCTCTCCGTCCTCTGTCGACTTCCATATGTACGTCGAGATCCATTCCTTTATCTTCTCTCCTCTCCCTTTCTAATACGGCTGTGCAGGTTTCTCTCCGCATAGCTTTCAAAAAGTTCTAGTGTTCATCTACACAGGTTTCTTCAGAGATGTTGCTCGATATCTCCCATTTTGTCTTGATGGCTAACTGACGTGAAGATTTCCTTTGTAGTTTCGTCCTTCAGTTTCTGGGTGGGTGTTGAACTTGAACTGTGGTCTAACATCACCAACTTCCTTGGAGGCCTTCAACTTGATTTTGAAGGTAGGTTCCTTGCACTAGATAGTGGTCTGAACTTACATCTGCTCCTCTTCTCGACCTTGTGTCCGGTAGGCTGCGTCTCCACTTTCTCGAGATTGAGGTGAAGTTGACCTGATTTTTAGTGTGTCCTGGCGTCCGGTTAAATCCATGTCGCTGCCTTGTGGATATCCTTATACTTTAACGCAGTACCTCCAATCACCAAATCGTTGAACCCGCAGAAATCTGCAGACAGTTCTCCATCCTCGTCCACTTTACCGAGTGCTTCTCGACACACGATCAGTACCTTCCTGTGTTGTCCGCTCCCAGTTTCGCATTCGTGTCGCCCATTAGAATTTTGATGTTGCCGATTGGAGTCTTGTCCGGTGCTGATTGCAGTTGTCTGTAAAATTGCTCCTTCTCCTCTTCATCCGCACTATTTGTAGTTGTGTAGCATAGCATTGTACGACTGTGACTTTCCTTCCTTTCGGGTTGAACCCTGCTGCCATGATGCTCATCCATCAGGAGGAGACTGGTTCCTACTGCATGAAGGTCTTTGGTGCTTTTGGGGACATCATGACAGCCCCTCCAAAACTCAGCGCGCCCGTGGCTGTCGTCTGGGTGACAGTTTCGGAGTAGGTTATTGATCCTGCAGTTAACAGTTTGGAGAGTCCACTTCCATTCCACCCGCTTTCGCAAACTCCTAGCACTTCAATGCGATAGCTTCTCATCTCGTTTGCAATCTGGGCAGCCTTGCTAGGTTCAAATACAGCGCGGATATTCCATGTCCCCACGTTTACTTTTGCTTTCGTCGAGAGAAGACACATAGGTCGATGGGCTTCCCGAAGGCTTTCACCAACCGGCATCATTTCGTCCTCCCGATTCCAGCGAGGAATAATTTTATTTTTTATATTTTCTCTGTGCTTTGAAGTTTCTTTAGCGGTTGGATTGGTTTTAAGGCGTGGCGTTGCTAGCCCTACGCCCAACCTTCCCTCTTCTTCCGGGCTTGAGGCCGGCTAGTAACCAGTGAACTACACGAGGTTAGAAAGCCTGTTGGCGAGAAACCTTACCCTAGGTTGCTCTTAAAACCGGGAAGATTTGCTGTCACTGACAACCACTTTGTATGGATCGGAAGTTGATAGGTGACAAAGAGAGAATTATACTTCAACTCTTTTTCCGTAACGGACTGACTGACGATTAGGTAGAACCTCACACACAGAGTCATCAGTTAAAGTTACCACAATTCAAAGTAGTACACAAAGAACAAGTGGATTGAAAAAGAGTGATATCAAAGTAGATAAAGTTGTGTTAGACGGTTAGACGGTTAGAGGTTACCCCCTTCGAAGCCGGCTCCTAATTTATTTACCGGTGTCTTCAGAGCAAATTGGCACGGCCGAGCGAAAATATAATGATTGTCCTCACCGTGGTACAAAGCAACTAGGACCGTGAAATGACTGACATGTAGAGTTTTGCTTCATTCTTCCTACAAGGTTCTAGTTTGAAGGTTCGTAAATTGGCATTTTGAGAATAAGAGGTTACCAGCCCACAAAAATACCTTTCCAGTGGATCTCCGAGCTCGTTCATCGCTCTTTGAACCAGCTAGTTTTTAAAGTCAGTTACTCAGTGCCCCACAGAGATGACACTTTTCCTCGGTTTTTCCACACTAATGTCGTATCATTCTCCGAGATAGAGACGAAAATTGAAAGTAGATCAGGCGTCAAGTCGTGTATCAGTGTCCTAAATAGCCTGGTTATGTCTCATTTTATCTATAACATGATGTAAGGAAGAGGTTCAGCTCCTGCGATTGCTTTCCGCAGCTAAAGCTATCCGCCGTGGGGGCTATACGAGGGGCTGTGCTGCAAACTGCTTTCCCAAGGTCTAAGCCAGCCTTCAGACAGGGATTTACTGCCAGTGCACAGTTCCCTGGATAAGATCAACCGAGGGCTTGAATGAGTTGACGAACGCGCTACCAATGACCCCAGCAGACCTTTCGTGCTACGCCCAAAGCATGACAGAACTCCGTGCTACGATCAGCCGACAGTTTACGGTGGTCTTCAGAGCAAGGCATACTACGACCGAAAGGTCATTGTGGAACAATTGTGAAGGTAAAACAGACCCGCCGATGTCGTAGGTGTTGCTGTCTGCATGCTGTATATGCATGATCACACCCGGGTTAATGGATATCAGCTACGTTGCCGATCATGTTAGACAACTACTTAGGTCTGTCTGCAGTCTACGTGCATCTTCACCGTCCCTAATTCGTAGCTAGAACTTCGCATAACCAGCCTAGAGAACCACAAGAGTTTTCGAGATATTCAACAATCACAGAAATCTGCCTTGTGTCACTTCACCTTGTGCTGACTCCAACGAGGAATGTCGGGAATTAACCCTCACTTATCATGTCCAACCAACTAGAAAATCCCTGATGCATCCAAATATGTTTCCCGTGGTTCCAAAACCTTCCAGTTTCATAATAAGCTTGGAATGAAGTACCATATCGGGAAACTCACTGAAGTTTAGGAAAATGATATCTACAGGTTTCTTGTCACCCATAGACTGAGCCTAAATTCGTCTGACTGTGGTAGGATTTGTCAAGTATGAGAAGTTTCAGTAGAAGCCATGTTGCCAGCACTATAATTATTATTATTTGTCCCTTACGTTCCTGGTGGAATACAGGGCTTCAGTAGCACATCTCCACTTCACTCTATTCTCTGCAATCTTTTGAACATGGCTACACCACTGCCAACAAACAGCCTTTCATTTCTTCCCCACACCATCTCCTCCACATCAAGTTCGCCTCAAACGCCCAACTCGGCGTTTACCACTTGAGTTCCACTCGACGGACTGGCCTGATGCGTCATGTCCCGAATGCTCTTCTCAGTGTATGCCCAATGCAATCCATCTCCGCTCTCTTCCGCACATTTGTTGGACGACGGGTTCTTCGTTGGTTTGTCGCCAGCCAGCCAGCTAGCCAGAGTTCCTCCCTGCTTATTCTTATTATCCTGGTCATCTGATCTTTACTATTGAGCGAGCGTAGGTGGCAGCTGTTGATGTGATGTATACTTGCAGTTTTTTCGAAATGCCTTTCATATCGGGACAAGTTTCTGAACCAGTGCAGTGGATCTCCATGCTGATTTCAGGTGAATGAGGGCGTCCTCCTGTCTTTCCGACCTCGGCTTTGATGTTCTTATCTGTGCCTGTGCGGCCTGTAGTCGTTGCGATTCTCTCTTCAGGATCTTCCTCGCCTCACCTCTTTTGTTAATTTGTTAGTTCTTGGCCGTAGATCTTTGAGTTTGTGCTTCAAGACATTAGACATAAACCATCATCGGCGAAATCCAATTCTTCTAGACCCTTTCCGCGGTTCAGCCAACGTATATCCATCTTCTCGCTCCTCACTGTTTGTTGCATGATCCAGTCCACCACAATCAGGAACAACATGGGTAATAGTAGGCGGCAGCCTTGTCTTACTCCTGTCTCCATTTCAAAGGCGTCACCGAGCTTCGCATCGTGAATCACTTGGCATGTGGCGTCGTCGTATAGTTGCTGAATGAGGTTGGTAAGGATTTGTGGCATTCCGTGATGTTTTGAAGCAACTGCCGAATTATTTCTCGGTCGACGCTGTCAAAAGCCTTTTCAAAATCGATGAAGCTGAGGCAGAGGGTTGATTGTCATTCTATGTTCTGTTCTATGGTGATGCGAAGCGTTGCAATATGGTCCGCACATGTTTTGTTCTTCCTGAAGCCAGCCAGGCTGTTCTGGTTGTAGTTTTGAATCCGATGCATTCCTAAGTATTTCCAGGGTGATGCAGGCTGGTATTTTGATTGCGGTGGACATACGCAACAGCATGCCACATCCTGCAAAAACTTAGGTCTCTCTTCTCTGACAGACTTAGAAGGTAGTCGTTCTTCCAATGTACAGGAAATTCATGATAGTAGGTAGTTAACAGATATCTGCAACAAATACAGTTAAGGTAAGTAACTTCACAAAAACTCACCTAATACAACTCTAATTAGAAAATCTAAGCCTATAGGTGTGAAGTTTTCTAGGTAAAAATTCGACCTAGCTTGCACGCTAAATGTTGAAGACTACAAAATTGGCCTTACGTCTTGAAGTAGAAAGTTTAAGCATCTCACTGTCAAAATATAAAGAACATACGGAGAGAACAAAGACGATATTTACACAGATAATCGATATTTTGGGTCCATATTGTAGATGATACCACGATTATACAACCAAATTGGTTGTCAGAATTACGATTCCCTCTTCTTACAAGTTGAATAAATACTTACCTTTATATAATGAATAGTATGATTCCAACATGCACATATCCATACAACGTTTAGCAATAATAGATAGAAGAAGCACACTCCCGAGTTCATTGAGTTCCGTTTACGTTCATAGTGCATAACTATAATGTACAAAATCTAAAATAGATTGGGAGAAGAAAGCAATGAAAGCAAAACGTTTTAAAGACACATGAGTAATGTCAAGAATTAATAATACCTATAAATTCTTTATGACTGGATTCCGACGGAGTAGTTTTGAGATAACCTGGTTTCTTTGAGGTTTGGATTCAGCTCGATATAGGTTCGGAGTCCTTAACAAATAGTCTCATGCTGGAAAAAATAAATTCAGAATCTTAGTTTTATACACCGATCCGTGTTAGCACATCTTACAATAACAAAAGAGGGAATCCAAAAGGGTGGGAGTGAAATGAAAGAATATAAGTGGACAAGAAGCCTGTGAAACAGAGACAGTATAAGCAGATGACCTGGTATTACTGCGCAACAGTCGAGGGTGTCACACATCATTATCAGTACATCAGGCTAGAATGAAAGATAAAAAATGAGGAGGAAAGTAGCCAAAAGCCTTGAAGAGAAAACAAGGAGGTTTGAGACAATAATGAAATGCGGTAAGAGGACTGAGATGAATATTATGCATGAGTACGTTCGCACTGCTGGTGCTTCCTCCGGACCATATAACCTAGAGCCTTCAAACACTGGTTTTTGCTGTTACACAAACTCCATGCACTGATGCCATGTCTTGGTCTGACCATATCTAAGCCTTTCCTAGCCCAAACATACACCGGCTAACATCGTGCGACTAAACAGACGGTGATTAGGTATACATAACATATGTTTCAGCCCCCTGAGTCTATAAAGACCTACAAATTCATCAACTGACACTTTTTCTTCCCAAAACTCTAAATCTGAATTCTACGTTACTGACGCAGTAACTCCACAACACGGAGCCCATGATACGAAGGCAGCAGTGGTCGAATACCTGAAGCTTTCTCGTGTCCCTTACCCTCAATGGCTGTTTCACAACCATATAGTAGGACAGAGAAAACCGCATCACAGTACACTTAGCCTTTAATAGGCAATCCGAAATTGTCGCGGCACCATAAATGGAGTAAGTTGGCAAAAGCCAATCGAACCTTTTGTATCTGTGCAGAGATTTCGTTGGCCACTGATTCATCAGGGATGATCCGACTTCCCAGGTAAGTGCAGTGTTCAACGCACTCGACCACTTCAATCTCTATTTGTAAACAGGGGATGGCTGAATACTAAAACAAATGGATTTGGTTGACATGAAACACATCCCAAACATTTTCCAATTCCCACTCAATGTGTCTGAAAAATTTTACATTTTGTCAGCGTTTTCACCAGACAGGACTGTGTCATACCTGTATTCCAGATCTACCTAGCGTTTTTTTGTGATAACCTCAATCTGTACAAAGTCAGATGACGAGAGTTACACCTCGATAAGAACGTCTGCAACAAAATTAGATAATAATAGAGTCAATATCCCTGACGGATACTATTCGATGTACAAAACTTACCTGATAACCCACCACAGGCTGTCACACGGGTGTTGGAACATAGTCTTCATCAGAGTAGTATACTTATTCGGCACTCTCTTTAGTGAGACACTGTTACAAGACTCCTCAATCTACGGAGTCAAATGCCACCTTTCGATCAAGCAATACGTGTCAGGCGTCGACAAGTGTGCCTGTGTTCCAAAACCAAGAAGAGTGAATATTTGGTCAATTTACTCAAGACCAGGTATGAAACGTGCCTGGTATTCTCAGGTTTGCCGCTATCAAACATCATTTAGAAGTCATATGATTATAGAACCTAGAACATCAGACACCACATCGTCCTCTGTGGCTATCACAGGAGGATTTCTCTCTTTTCTCAAAGATTAGGACAAACAATATTTGGGACTAGTCAGAGGGGAATATGTCTGGTTTTGACAGGCTGGCTAACATGACAACTGTCCTGAAATACCTCCATTACTAACCCACCTCATCTTTCTGCCCTTCCACCTTTCAGGTTACTTACAGCTTTCTTAACTTTCGCAGGATTTATAGTGTGCATTTCGATGTTGCACTTGGAGTCCAACTGGAAAGCAGATAACTGAATACTAGCTGGAGGCTATTTGAATACTCTTTAAAGTGGTCTGACGAATTTCTAACCAGTTTCTCACCGAAATTAGCCCCAATATTCTCATCACAGCGCTGCATTCAGAATGGTCTTGTCGCTATAGTTCCGCTACATCCATTAAAAAGCAGACATACAAGTACTCGAACCAACAGATGGTAGCAGTAAAAACCTGCACATAAAAAGCGAAAAATATCCCAAAGATTAGCACCTATTGAATGTGCGCCACAGTGACTGATCGTGATCTATGGTATACAGAGTACTTGGTTACGATTACTAGTATATATTGAAGACCTCAGACAAGAAATCATCCAGCACAATCTTGTTTTTAAGGGTTTCTAAAATCACACTTGTTCACAAAAGTTATCTGTAGAGCTGGGGCTTAGTGGTTCAAAGAGACGACAACCAATCATTGCGGTTACGGGTTCAAACCCTGCTCCACCTACTGAGGTTTGGACAACGTGGTGGTAGCACTAGTCCTCAAAAAATAGATGTGGCGTATTGCCTACTGCGGAAATGTGCACAAGGTGGCTGAGGGCATAAAGGTTATCTTAGGAGTTTTAAGTCCAGGTTATAGCGCTTACGATGACATCCCAATTTCATTTTCCCTAACTTAACATCTCTATATGATATGAGGATTTACCAACCTTGAAGATGTGCAGACTAACAGTTGAAAGTTTGCATGGCAAACGATGTGACGTTGGCTAGATACATGAGATATACTCCACCGGCGCAACAGTCTAAGGCTACCGATAAGAATATTGGCTGAAGGTAAATGATAACGAAACTATCAGTTTGCCTGAAGTCATAGTACAATCGCTGGTTTTTAGATTTTGTAAAAATATTTCTAGGTTAGCAACCCAACCAAGAGTATTTATACAACTGAGTGAAGTATTTCTAAACTTTGACAAATTTATTATTATCTCTAATTCCTCGTCGATTATCATGTTGAATAAGACGGTCTCCGTTGGTACACAGGCTCCTCTGCTGACGTCTGCATAATGCTTGAAGATTTATTCGGACATAATTTGCCTTCTGGGGGCTGGCATTGGAATTCAGACCGGCTGATGTGGTCTAGCACAATAATCAGCGGGAAGTTATGAGCATTAACACATTACAACTGATACCAGTTATACGAAAACCGGCTCATATGCCTCACTGAAATGTAAACTCAGCTTACTCAAGGTTTCTTGTATTAGAAGGACTAGAAGAAGGGAGGAGATCCCCGCCTTGATACTAGATGGTGAAGCGAAAGATGGAGCAAAATTGAGCCTGGCTAAAGCAGATAGTTTGTCCAAATCTTTCAAACTAGTTTTCTTTGGCTAGTAATTCGGATGGGGTTCTGGATACTGACACTATTTCTAACGTCCGCCTAAGAGAACCTATTGAAAGAAGACAGTACTTCGACTGATCGGAAACCTAAAGCCTGAAAGATCCCTGTGCCCAGGTGGATTACATACTAGCATTATGTTTCTGTTGACTGATATTATCGGCGGATACTTAACTGTGCTAACCAACGCATCCTTACTTCAGGTACAAAGACCTAGGGATTAGAAGAATGCTATAATGAGTTCTGTGTTCAAAGGAAGGCTAGTTACCAATTGTGGACCTGTTATTCTTATTAACAGTGGTTAAGACAAGAGCGAAGATAGTAAGTGATGAGATACTCAAGCATTTAGAAACACTTCAACTACTGAAGAAGGAGCAACATGGCCTTCGGACTGGACGCCCTTGTTTCACAAAGCTTCTGGCGAAGGACTGCGGTTAAAGCTAGAAAGAATGAACTTCCTGTGGATGTGGTTTGTTTACTTTTAGCAAAGCTTCCGAAAAGTCACACAGGATTGGTGGGGAACTTTAGTAATTTTGGTGCTGATAATGGAGTTGAAGACTTGATTAGGGAATATTTACACGACAGAAGACAAAAAGTAGGAGCGAATGGAGAACTCTCTGAGTGGCAACCTATCACTACTAGTGTTTCCCAAAGCACTATCTTTAGGCTACTACTCTTCTTTCTTCATGTTGATTAAGTACCAAAGATGCCGGACTCACCATCATTTTTAACTGCTGAGGATGTCAGAATACGGAGGACCATTCATGATGATGATGACAATGACAGGTCTGCACTCCAAGCTGACCATCGTGAACTGGTTAAACGGTCTAGACGATGGTGCCCAGAAACCAACCCCAGTAAAAGCGTAGTAGTGTATACTTAGAGTAACTGTTCCGCTGGATATTCAACAGATGATCAACAAATACCTCGGATTTTAAAATGAAAAGACGTAGAGGCCATCGTAATTCAAAACTGAAAGATGAACTCAAATTGTAACACTTTTGTATCCCAAGGGTTTCGAATGCTTTGGCCACTTCGTAAACCACTCAGATTCTTTGATGAAGGAATTAGGAACACTATGTCCAGGCAGATAGTTCATGCCTCAAAAAGGTGATACACTAGAACTGACCTAAGGGGTTACCACTACAATTGCCACATGCCTTGGTCACCTCTCTTATGAAGGGCCACTGACAAAGCTTAACCTTTTTCCTTAGTCACATCTTAGGAGAGGAAGTGATAAGACTTTAACCTTTAGCCGTTTGAATAATGACTTAGGTATTTACTACCTCGAGGACTGGTCACCTCAGGCAGTATCGAAGGAAGATCCCAAAGCAAGGGTTATATCATATTCAAGTGGATCGCCAGTTCACTTTCAGAGTGGTCAGTGACCAAAACATGCTACTTAAACAAGTACAAGTTCCTTCATTGGTCACATTAAAAAACCGAGCCCTCACGAAGATAATTACTCAGAGGACTGAAATAAGCCAACAGCCTACTTTCTTTCTTGTTGCAGTCTTCAAGAAGGTTTAGGACGTTATACAAGTCTACTTATTGTTTTTTCACCCCAGCTTTCCTCACTATCCATACCGCAGCTTACAAAGACAGGACCAGAAATGTTACTGAAATTTGACTCGCATTCCTTACATATGATACATAGGGCCTGATAAACTACTTAACTCTTGGATGCCATTGCCACGATTAAGTAAAAAAGATGAATGACTATCATAATCCAAACAGCGAGTTCTACCGTGACAGCGACCTGCAATATTATTCAGTAGTAGACAACGTATTTAGGAACAAATGAATTCATTGGAAAACTTCATACAAACACCTGCAACTTACGAGAGAAAATGACACAGATGACGGCCCAACAAACGATCCAACGGCAAAGTTTCTAGTTTCTGAGACAACGTAAACAACCCGAATGGCATTCAAAAGTAAGCAAACAAGAACCAGGTCCTGAAAATGAAACGCTTATATACAAATTGAAGCATTGGTACCATTTTACATAGATATAAGCACGATACCAAGCGGCTAGAGTTTGACTTTGAAACCAGTAGGAAAATAGCATACGGCAACAGTACCAAGAGTGAGAAGATAGTAAGAGAGATAGGAAACACAATGTTGACCTCACATTCGGGAAAGATGGGCAACTGTTGGTTCCAGTGGTATACCCACCCCTCCTGAGAAGATGAAATGCGTAAAAACTACGACTTACTTCACTTTCATTTTGACAAACAAACCCACGGAAAGCACACATCCTAAGGACATATAGGTCAAAACTTCTTCACACTGTTCAATGTACTCATCGTGCTGAATACTACACTAAAACAATCGTATTTGAGTTGCTTACCTCTTGCGCCTAAATATCACATAAGCAGGTGTTTAAGAATGGGTCGTTGTACATTTATCTTTGCAAACAATATCTATTGTGTTCTCCCAATGCACAATCTCTAATGCTCTATTGAGCTACTTCTCACTTTTATGCACACTAGAGGCGGGACCGAAACTGTTGCTGTTCCTGAAATGAGACTTTTTATGTTGACAGAGATGTAGAGTATCCAGGACATTATCTTCCCCGTTCTCGAAACCCTGAAGTTTCAAGTCTTACACATTTATATTTTAATCAGTCCCATTTTAAGTCGGCGATCTATAACTTAAAGTCATCTGCTGAACTTCAGGGGCATGAACAGGCAAAAATAAGAAATTCCGCCACGAAAATTTTCCCTTTCACGGGAACTTTATATATGGAGTGCCACACATTATGATAACCGGTCGGTAGTTGGCTTGTTCTGTACCATTTTGCACTTACTAACTAAGAGAGTAGTACTTGTTATCACAATCCAGTATTTCTGAGCATCTATGAGCGGTGCTGCTTCGCCGTCAAATATGTTAGGTGGAATAAGAATTCGCAACTTGCCCTAACTAAATCCACTACACTGATATGACGAACAGGACAGTGGGAAGAGAGACCTTAGTAACTTTATATGTGCGTGCAGAGAGTCCATTATGTTATTGGAGTAAACAACTTTAAGGTCGCTTTTGAGTGATCCTAATTCCAGAAACCAGACACTGGTTTCAAGTTCAATGTATGATTGCACAACAGGCCCATGAGCACAATAAAAAGAAAGTTGCTCAACTCTCAAGTATGTGGCATTATGAGTGGTTCTTTGTATGGAGAGGCTAAATTTCGCCTTTGACCTCGTTATTGATGCGGAAGAAAAAGAAGCGTATTAAGACGAAGTCGTAACCTGGCAAAGAATAAAAGTTTTTGTGGCGGGCCTATCAAGCAGTTGCTGGTATACCCGAATGATTCAGGTGCTCTTTTTTTAGCTATTAACAGCCTTTAGTAGAAACTGGTTGGTGCATCCTCTAGCCGAGATTTAACATAAGCTGTTCAGCATCGGATTTCGAAAACAAAGTGTCGGAAAGCTGTAAACTCTCTCTGCAGGGCGCCTCACATGATTGTGATTCGAAGCTTTTCCCGTCTAACCAGTCACGCGAAAAATTTCTTGTTAGAGTGGAAATTTATGGCAGTGGTCGTATAAGGAACACTAGGATGAAAATGTGATCTGTAAAAATGAACTGTGCGTCTACCACTTCGCACATAGATTCTAGTTGGGGAAACAGACTCTCCTGTTTGCTGTAGAACTTATGTCAGCTATCATACACCGATGAAGGAGGCTGCACAAGTAATGCGAGGCAGTGGCAAGATATGAAAATACCTGGCAAAGTTGACGTTTGA